TTTAGCAGAGTTGTAGGAGAATTGGTAGTCATGACGGAATGGTCAAATACAGTTTAGATGCCTTGATGAATAAAGAGACAAAACCAGAAGCTATTGACATTAACCCAATCTCAACTACATCTACTTTGAAAGCGTAAGCACACAGAAGATAGGGGAAATATTTGGAGCTACACAAATATGATACATAGATATCTGAATTGTTACTGGTCATTAGGGAAAACATTAACCTCTCAATAGGAAAATATTTAAAAGCTATGAACAAGATCCTCAGTAAAGAAACACAAATAGCTTTTGAATATAAAATATTTTCAATTTAGCTCATGATTAAATTTCTAATTTGTTTTATCTCATGTAAGCATGTATTTTCCACCTTGTATGATATAGGAAATGACCTCCTAAAATCTATATGAAAATATGGCCCCTTAAAATTCCCCAGAAGCACCATCTGGGATGCCACATATTTTACTGGAATTTGGGGTGGTTCTAAGAATTCTAACTACTGGCATAAATAAATGAGGCAGCATGTTCCATTTTAGGCTTTTATTTAGTGCGAAAGATGCATAGGAGAATGAGAACTGTATCTAAGAGAGAGAAGGGTAAATCTGGGTTCATACCGAGTACCAGGAACCAGCCACCAGTCACATGGAGGAGCATCTAGGCCAGGAAGCCTAGGGTGGGTGGCCTGAAGACCACGTGCCCTGGAGGTGCAGGGCTACAGCTAGTCCCACTCCTGGCAAGAGGCCAGGAAACAGAAGAGAGGGACACACCTTGTCCACTTCCAAAGGGGAGTGGTTAATTAACCTGATTGGCTGATGGGCACACAGATGTGGCCAGGTAGGGGCATGAGGTCACACAGGGGCGTGGCGAAGGCATGGTCTTTTAGCTCACAAACCTAATTGATTTTAACCTGTATGCCTGCCTACTTCATATCTATAAAGCATAACTTATTTTTGTAAGATTTATAACTTAAATCTTGCTGTTTTCAGAAAAAGTTTTCTGTTCCAATTTGCGATTGTGTTGTGCATATCCTGAAAGGAGTGGTCTTTCTATTTTATAACATGAAAGCTCACAAGAAATTGCTGTCACATTTTTTTTACTGCAAACAGTATAGCCCATTTTGTTTTGAAATATTGCACACACGAGCACATACCCTCCATTGCTAAACAACATGTGTGCCCTTGCTGTATAGACTCTATTGGTCTATGCTATCCTCCCCTACTCTCCCCTACTTTTACCTGTCTTACCCTGCCTGCCCTACACTATTCTGCTTTAATAAAATAAGTGCTACTCTCAACGCTCTGATGATGGCATCAGCTGAGACAGAATCTATAAGCATTGCTGTTGCAAGTGCTGAATGGGCCATATTTAGTCTATAGTTTTATATATATATATATATATATATATATCCATTTTCTTTATCTATTCATCTGATGGATACCTTGGTTGATTATCTACCTTGGCTACTGTGAACAGTGCTGCAATAAATATGGTAAACATGAAACAGTTATCTATCTGATAAAATCATTTCATATGTTTTGATATGTATCAAGTAGTGGGATTATTGTGTAACTTCAATTTATTTAAAAATTCATATTTGCCTTACTGTAATATCTGCCATCTACTAAATTTGCCCATATACATGAGTTTATTTCTCAGCTTCAATTCTGTGCAACTTGTCTGCCTGCTTTCATTCATCTACCAGGACGTCATGCTATGTATGAATTATAGAGATGTAATAGTACCTATTCATGTCTGCTAGGGCTTGTGTTTACTGTAGTTTTTTTCCTGGGATTGTTCATCTTGATATTTCTGCATGTTTAATTGCTTACGAACTTTAGTATCAGTTATTCTTGATTCCATAACAATGCTTATTTAGAAATAATTGACAGTCTTGGGGCTGATGTTGTAGAATAACAGGTAAAGTTACCAGCTGTGATGCTGTCATCCCACATGGGATGTTCCCAGCTGCTCCACTTCCAATCCAGCTCCCTGCTAATGTGCCTGGGAAAGCAGAAGAAGATTGACCAAGTTCTTGGGCCCCTGTATCCACGTGGGAGACCCAGGAGAAGCTCCGGGCTTCTGGCTTCTGGCTTTGACCTGGCTCAGTCCTGGCTGTTGTGAACACTTGGGGAGTGAACCACTGAATGGAAGATTCTCTCTCTCTCTCTCTCTCTCTCTGTCTCTCTCTCTGTCTCTCTCTCTGTCTCTGTAACTCTGCCCTTCAAATAAATAAATTAATCTTTTTTTACAAAAAGAGAAATAATTGATAATCTTATGAGGGTGAGTCCCCACCCAATAAAAAATAACTCTCCGATTTTTTTGACAGGCAGAGTTAAACAGTGAGAGAGAGAGACAGAGAGAAAGGTCTTCCTTCTGTTGGTTCACCCCCCAAATGGTTGCTGCTGCCGGTGAATGGGCCGCTCTGAAGCCAGGAGCCAGGTGCTTCCTCCTGGTCTCCTATGTGGGTGCAGGGCCCAAGCACTTGAGCCATCCTCCACTGCCTTCCTGGGCCACATCAGAGAGCTGGACTGGAAGAAGAGCAACCAGGACAGAATCCTCCGGCGCCCCAACCAGAACTAGAACCCTGGGTGCAGGCGCCGCAGGTGGAGGATTAGCCTAGTGAGCCATGGCGCTGGCCCAGAAAATCTTTAAAATTTTCCTATGTAGAGTTTTCTAATTTCTTGTTAAGTGTATTTATAAATTTTAAATTTTCTTTGTTATTTTTGGAAATATCTTTGATGGCTTCACTTACTCAAAAGTGATACTATGGGCAATTACTATCAAAGCAGTTCACAAATGCTCATAAATGCTCTCTGTATTGTTCCCTATGTAAAACCGCTCCCTTCCTGTCTTAGTGCTTTTGATGCTCAGTTATGCTTACATGAAAATGACATCATCATCACTGATTCCTTTTTGTTTACTGTTCGCCAATTTATGCTTCTTTTGTTGCTAGACATTTACTTCATTTCATTTAAAATGTATTGCTTAAAATAGGCAGCTTAACCCTTTTGTAGTATATAATATGACCCCATCAATCTATTACTTTCTGACAGACTATTTTGTTTCTTCTTTTTCTTCCTCCTTTTGTTTGACTTATGAAATATAGAAAAAAATAAACATTTTTCACTAAGACAGATATTTCAAATTCTCACACTAGGTAAGGAATAATATAAGGGCACTAACAAGTTAGGGTTTGATTATTCTAATAAAGGAAATTACTGATTCAGCAAAGGTAATAGGTTATTAAGAGCAACAAGCATCTTGTTTGTTGAAAGCACCAAAATGAAATATATGATTAATGATACAGATATACAGACCTTAATATGGTTAGTGTATTTTATTCAGAACATGAACTGTAACTTTATACAAAAAATGGTTGTTAGAAAGGCAGTATGACAGAGAGGAGAGAGAGATAGAGATCTCACATCTGCTGGTTCAGTCCCCAAATAGCTGTGAAGGCCAGTGCAGGGAACTCTATCCTGACCTCACACATGGGCGGCTGGAATATTTTTCTGCTGCCTGGAAAGGTGCATCAGCAGGGAGCTGGCTGGGAAGCGGAGCAGCTGGGACATGAACTGCGCCCAGGGGATGCAAGTGTTGCACATGCAGGCTTAACCCACTGCACCAGAACACTGTCTCTGACTTGACATTAAAAAAACGCATGATAATGTTGGCTTGCCACATTTATAAGTGTGACACTGAACAACTTAGTATGTTTCTTTACCTAGAAGAATATATTAAAATGCAATTAAAAGATAATGGTTCAGTTGAATGAATTAATGTGAATAGTTAAGTACATATTAAGTGCAAAATAAATGTCACAATTCAAAACTATTTTCACTTTGAATACAAACTCAATTAGATTTCTAAAAACAGTGAGCTACCCTAATGAATTTGAAATGAACTTTATTCTCAATGTTTTATGTGATGTATTTTAGAATGTATTTATTACATTCAAACTGGCTCAATAAATTAGATAAATAATTTGCTAAAGGGGAATGGAATATGTTGTGTACCATATCACTTTCAAATAAATAAATTAAAGAAAATTTTGACTGTTGTATTTTAAACAAAATATACTATGGAGCCACGGGATTGGCAGTTGGCCTACTGGTTTAGTTGCCACTTGGCAGCCTCACATCCCACACTAGAGTGCCTGGGTGTGAGTTCTGGCTCTGCTACAACTACACTTTCCAACCAGTGCCCACTCTGGGACTCAACAGGCTCTGGGGCATTGCCACCCATGTTGAGACCTGAACTGAGTGCCCTGACTTTGCACCTGTTGGAGAATGACAAATGGATGGATACTTTCCCTATCTGTCTGTCTCCTCAGGTATGTAATTCCAAGAAAAAAATAAATGCAATCATATATATTTTAATGATTTGTGACTGTTTTAGTTTGTATCAGTATATTTGAACATAGTTTCTTGTGATGATTTTTTAAGCCCCATGCCTATTTTCTTGTTAAACTATGAGTTTTTATTTTTACATATTTTTATTTGCGTTTAACTCTGGTGTAGCCATTAAACCTTTGATGATAGTGTAAAGAAAGAATGTTTTCTCTCAAGAATTAAATATTAAGTTAAAAAATATATTGGTGATACTTCCTTAATTTTCAAAGTAACTATAGTTTATTATACATACTATAAAGTATACATTACTACTTGCTGTACCATGCAGCTAATTGTGCTTAATTTGGGAACATATCGCACTTTAATTAAGAACATTCCTAGAAAATCACAATGCCAAAATTTTGCTTCACTAATTGAAAGAAAAGGCACACTAAGCTGTTTTATTAGTAATGTAAATGATCCTATTAAGACCAGATAATGATTTAGGAAACTATACTTTAAATAGGGTGAACTTTTGTGCAGAGTGTACAAAACAAAAATGAAGGACACAGTAATCAATTATTTAAGAAGGCTTGATTATTTCATGCTGTCAAATATTTTTACATAGTTATGTAATATAAAGTTTTGTTTTTGTTGCATATTCTAAAGGCTCATGTCTCAAAATTGGAGATGACATGTTTACTGGAAATGAGAAGAATGGCATAATAGATAATGGGATTTTTGAATGCATGTATGTGAAAGAGATAAGGAAGCTTTGAGTTTACCAGAAAACCACACTTGTGATTATGCACTCAACATTCTGTGCATAAACAAATCTCAGTAGTGCTGGGACTTTATTACCCATCAATGGACTATGGTAGGTATACTAATATGAATGAAACAATCTGTAGTGTTATTTTCTGACTTGACAGACAGGAAAAAATTGAAATTGCTAATATAATAAGGCTAGTTAGACACGACATAACACACATGTATGAATAGTTCTTATACAGTCAACAAATATTTCCAGTGTAGGTGTTTGGCTTAGCAGTAAAAGTGCCAGTTATGGAGCCCACATGCCATAGCAGAGTATTGGGTTCAGTCACAGACTCTGACTTCCAGTTAATGCAGACCCTGGGAGGCAGTGGTGATGGCTCAAGTAATTGGTTTCCAACCACTCACTTGAAAGACCGGGACTGAGTTCCTGCCTCTGGCCTTAGCTCCGCCTAGCCTCAGCTGTTGTTCATGACTGAACCAGTGTTTGCTAACTTGTGTGTGTGTGTGTGTGTGTGTGTGTGTATATTTCTGCATCTCAAATAAATAAATAAAAGTCAAATAAGTACATCCAAAATGTAGTTTTCATTGTGGAGTAGAGAATAATTTATAGTATATATTACTAATTGTAATATCAACATAAAATTTAGAAACCTTTCAAGACTCAAGTAAGTAGTTTTGATGAACTTAGCATGCTTATAATATGTAACAAATATATATTATAATTATAGCATTCATTATAATTATACATAAGAATTTGATGTTGGAAAAGTGAGATTGTAATGTTTATTATTGTTAATCGTTGAATCTTTACAATACAAGAGTATCAGCAGATAATTTAGTTTTTTATTTAAAAAGATGACAAAATAACATTTTTTAGATCAATAATTAGTAGACTTTAATCTATCATAGATGATATTTTAATATAAGCATGAATTCAAGAATTAAAAGTTAATTAAAATACAGTTTTCTAAATTATACTGTTATATAAACACAAACTAATTTCTACTTCTACAAATATTTTATCATGAATATGAATAAATATGCAGTTCTGTAGACTCAGAACTCGAATTTCCTACGCAAGTGCACCTACCTGGTACAGAGTTACCTCCTCCCTGCCCAAAGCAGGGCTAGCTCTCCTGATTACATGATCTGATTCTAATGAGATTCTAAAATACTCTCTAGAACTAAAATATTTTGAAATACAGGTGAAATATGATAACAGAAAGATTTATCTTTAACATTATCCTGCTACAGAAGTCAGAGGCAGTTGACTTTGATATAGTGGAGCTCAGACTCATAGATCCACATTAGATTTTAGAAGGATTTTTCAAAGGCACTATTTATTCCTACGGAAAAGACATTGAACTATTGTTGCCAGCTTATCATGTATATTGTTTAAGACTAAAAATTCCTATAAGAATGGAAATATTTGTGTTAATCATATTGCTCTATAATAATGAAAATAAAATTCAATATACATTAAAATCATCCTTAAAATCACACTGATATAAGGAGTTGACTTGGTGGTGCAGTGAGTTAAGTCACCCCATGAGACGCTGCCATCCCGTATTGGATGCTCATTTGAGTCCCAGCTGTTCCGCTTTCAATACAGCCTCCTGCTAATGTGCCTGGGGAAGCAGTAGATAATGGTCCACGTACTTGGTCCCTGCCATTAATGTGGAAGACTTCTTTGGAGTTCCATGCTCCTGGTTTCAGCCTGGCACAGCCCTGTCTGTTGTGGCCATTTGGGATGTGAACTAGCAGATGGAAGACCTCTGTCTCTCTCTACCTTTCCAATAAAATTAATGAAAATTTTAAATCCAAAATAAAAGGTATACATGAGGTTATAAGATTTTAAAATATTCCAGCACAGTGGAGAAATCACCTAGTAAATATGGAATTTAAAAGTATTAGAAAGTGGGTTGATTTTTCTTAGATTTTCTCTTTGATTTTCTCTCCAGGAAAACAACATGATAACCTTTGAGGATTAATAGCTAGGATTTGGCCCTTTATACATCTTACATCCTTCCCTTTCTTCTTCTATCCCTCATTCCCTTGTGATAATTGCTCAGATTTACATAAATTGGGTGCTAAAACATGCTTTCTTTCATCTAATCTAAGCTTTATACTTTCCCTGGGAAAATTATAGAATACAGCACTGTGACTTAAAAGGAAGCTCACAGCAGGCAAGGTAAGAATCAGGTCTGCAAGTGAAGCAGTCGCCTTTGGATTAGGGTAATCAGAAGCTGCCTGGTGGCAAACTAATTAAATTCCAATAGACTCTTCCAAATAATAAGGACATGAAGATGTATACTACTCTACTAGTGGTTGGATTTAGATAAGCAAACATCTGTTCTAATTAAAAGTAAAATAGAAGGAGGATACTTTACATATTGTTTTCCTTTTGATATATTTTGAAGTAAGTACCCAATGTGCTTTACTCCTTCGCCAACATGTGTAGCATTCAAGCGACATACAGCAATGAGATTATAGCAGATTCTGTGGTCACAGAATTTGTTTGTAAAATGTCCCTTCATGCAGGCATATTTCTCCTTCTCTGTGTTCCTTTTGCATCTAAGCAACTGTGCATTCTGCTGCTCCTTTCCTTTTGTTTTTGTTTTTATGATCTTGGAAATTACTTGCTTAATCTCTGAGCTCTCAGTGATGCATGCCTTAATTTCTGGACTTCATCTAAACATTCAAAAACTGACCAAACAAATCCTTGCTTGGATTACATGAGCAACCTCTACATGTTCCTATCCTTTGTATTTCCTGGGAAGAAAATCATATCTTCCGGGTTCTACCAAGTGGCTTTGAGAAATTAATGCCATTCAAGGCCAAGCAGCAACAGAAAATGATGAGCTTAAAATTTTACATCTCTCTATCTTCCAGAAAAAATAAAACGGAATGGAATTAAATGAATACAATCTTTGATTCCATGTGGGACTGAAGGATAATCTAGTTCTTAAAACAGATGCATTAGGATTATCATGCTTTTTTAAGTATTGTGTGTGCAAATTTTAAATTATCTCTGAAAAGTAACAGAAATAATAGAAAATGACTCAGAAGGAAAGCAACTGTATTCTTTCCAGTTAAGAAAAAGCCTGTGCTTTTCGTGGTATAGGTCTAACTTTTACAGAGTTATCAGAGAAATGTAGTGCATTCTGGTAGCAGAAGAGAGCAAAGGCCCATAGGTTAACTTTCAAGGTGAAAATACTTATATTTTGGTTCTCAGTCTTCACATCTGAATGACAGAGCCATTAATACTCATTGGTATCACAAATAGAATTAGTTCTTTTTTCCTCTTCAAGATATGAACAAGGCTCTAAAAGGCGAGGAGAGTGGCACACTAGATGTGTTTCGCTACAAGCCCCCTGTAATTTATTGCATCCAAGTCCTATCTGTTGAAAGCTCTCATCATGTTTACCTTTGCAAGATGCTTATTTGTCTTGCCAAATTTGAATATCATGAGGTAAGATTTATAGTTCTTCCCCAGAATCCTGATACAAGGAAATGAAAATGAATATATTAGAAAAGGAGCCATTAAGAATACGTATGAGAATAATGAGAAAATCGATGATGATCAAGAAAGAGTTCTTTGACAATTTGCCATCCTATTTTAGGTTTTCTCTTTTGGCTTTTCATTCACCTATGCTTAAATTGAAGTGCATTTATTAGATTTTTATTTACTATTAATGTTTAGTTATGGTGTATAAAAAATGAAAATGATATATTCTAAGCACAAGAACCTGGAGATTCAGTAGAAATTACATTTTTTAAAGATTTATTTGTTTATTTGAGAAATAGAGTTACAGAGAGAGAGACAAGGAGAGACAGAGACAGAGAGTTTTCCAACTGCTTGTTCACTTTCCAAATGGCTGCAACAGCCAGAACTGAATCAGGGCAAAGACGGGAGCCAGGAGCTTCTTCTTGGTCTCCCATGTGCATGCATGGGTCCAAGCACCTAAGCCACCTTCTGATACTTTCCCAGGCACATAAGCAGGAAGCTGAAACAGAAGTGGAGCAGCCAGGACTTGAAAATACGTTGAGTAAATATGACTTCAATTTTGATAAATCATGATAAAACTATCATATATTTAAGAGACTTGGGAAAATGATCCTCAAAGCATGTTCATATAGGAAGATAATAATGGGAAACATCAAACACAACCACAAACTCAACATGTATAACATACTACAGTTATTTTCATTAACTAAATGGATTGTTTTTAATATTACCTTTTAATAAATAAAGAGGACTTAATTCTCTCTCTGAACTATTTCATACAATTTAAAATTCCTTGATTGCCAAATCATTGGGAAGTTTTCCTAGGATTATCACCAAGTATTTTTTAATAGATACATATTTGTAGATTCAGGGACTCCTTTTTGTTGAGTAGAATAAATTCCACATTGACTATTTAAGCCACATTAATACCTAATCATTTGATTTTTTTTTCTGCCTGTGCCCTCAGGACAATACTGCTATAACTTGATTTCTGTGACATACTAAGAATTGTCAAATTACCATCATTCAAACACTCTTCTCTTCTCCCACATTCTCTTCTATGTTGTCCTGGAAAAAAAATGGAAATGTATTTCTCAGAATATCTCAATTGCAGGATTCTAGTTCGATTAGTTAGAGTCTGTTAGTGAGATGCACACACATTCGATATGGAAGATAAAGAGAGGGGAACGTCATTAACCCCCAGGTGGTGGCAGGCACACCAAGTGAGTTTTGTGTGAACATCAAAGCACACATGAGACTGAGTCACTCCCTTTGGGGCTGCAGAATGGGTAGATCACTGGAATCCATATTGTGACATTTCTGTAACCTCCTAATTGTCTGAAAGGCAAAGACAAGTTTCTCTGGCCATTGCCTTCACCTGCTTCTAAACCCAGTGCATTTTCCATTAGGTACATTTCCTACTGGAATGTCTGGAGTATTTGTAAATACTTAGAGCTACTTCCTAAAACATGTTGAGTATGACTAAACCATGAGTAATACCAGTTTATGTTCTTATCAGTAACTGTGTCTGTTTATGCAGAGCCATATTTGTGTATAATTATCTGTTGATGAAGCAATGATTCAGAGAAGTT